CTACGCCCCTGTCATCCAGTTACCAGCATTTGTGTTAACTTAATAAGGCGTTGCCGGGAGGCAGATGCCCAGGTGGGCGTGGCAGTTGGGTGGCGCCTCTTCACCTGAAATTCGGCCACAGGCATCTCACGCATGCTGAGCTCAGCAACTCTGCCATGGCCACGCCCCTTCGCCAGCACACCCGCCCCTTGATGCTGCCTAATCAACTGCCGCTTATTTATTTAACTTTGGTTTCACATTCGCCGGGCGAGCAGAAGAGATGTGCTTAACTTTCTGGTGGCTGGTAGATGCACCAGGAAAAAATGTTTGTGCCACAGACTTGGTTTTTAAAAATATCTCAAGCATTGAAAAATTGAAAGTACGGCACGTCTGTATAAGCAATTTGGCTATAAAAAATCAGCAATATTACTATGTTCATGTCCCACAAGACATAAATGTCTTGCTTATTTTTTGGAGTGCATATAAAGCCAGAGACAATTCAGAGCATCTCCATTTCGCCTTTTTTCATATCCCACCGAGTTAAGTCATCAAGAAATTCCATTTGATTTCACCCGAATTGAAATTGGACAAAAAAGAATGCTGATATTCTGCTCATTATTAATAGAAATACAAATACAAATTCAATTTACGTCTGATTTTCATTTAATTATGCATTTGTGTGTGTTTGTGTTCAGAGTATTTCATTTGATTACTGTCAAATATTCGATTATAAATTTAACGCGCAATTAACGCTGATTAAACAAAAATTAAAATGGAGAGACACAGAGACTTTTTAAATTTGAAATTTTTTGTACCGCACAAATGTTCGTTGAGATTAACTTTAACTTTGCGAGGAAAATCGCGAGGCAGTGGAAAGGGGCGATGCCTGGTTTTTCTTTTCATTTTCCTGTGCTTAATGTGGAAACTTACTCATGTAAATGAAAAAACGCAGGTGGCAAAACTTTTCTGCTCACCCACACAAAGACAAAGCGGACTGCACGTGTGTGTGTGTTTTCCCTGTGTCGTTGTGTGTGTGTGTGAGGGTACGTTTGTATTGGCAGTCGTATTTACATGATATTTAGAAAACACTCTCTCCAAAACTTGAGGCTCAACATGAGGCATGAGGACAGCAAGGACTCGAACATAAATTAACTTAGCTGCCTGTCTCTTTCTTCCGTTGTATGCCCATCTCCCTCTGGTTTTGGTCCTTTAAGCCCCGCTTTTTGTCCTTATTTTATTGCCTCTTTTGGCCGCATTTTCTATGCGCATACCAATGTGGCATTAATTTAATTTTAGCTGCAACCAACTTCAGCAATTTTACCACGCCCTGCTAAAATTTAGTTTCTCATTTAAATTGAATTTCTTTTCGATGGACATGGACAGCTGCATTCGATTATGGCCAAAACTGAAGCGAAGCGAATAACGATTAAGGCTCAAATGGCCAGCATTCTGCGCAGTTTAAAATTGGTCCATTAAATCGCTGAATAAATATTTCTGCTTGCTTATCCCATTTTTTATACATAGGAACTTCGCAAAATAAATATTTAATTCCATAAATGCGCAAAAATAATTTATGTAAACTGCATATCTGCACAATAATAAAGTTGCGCGGAATATTTCAAAAACCGTTTTGTTTTCCATTAATTTTGCAAGCAAATAAAACATTTTGCCAAAAACAAAAAAAAGGATAATTTCACATACATAAAAATGAATTCGTTCATCTTAAATTGAAAAGAGAACTTTATTATTGCGGGGAAAATCAATTAAACCAGAACACGTGTTAGTAAATTTGCATTACGCATTATCAAGTGTTTTACACATTAAACAACAAGTATTATTGTCTAAAAACCATCTATGGCTTCTTAGCCACTCTGAATATTGACCTCATCAACCTGATGTTTACTGTTTATCCACCACCATGCACATGTGTTTATGAATAGCATATACGATCTCAGTCATCTGAATCTGCATAACAATATTTGCATGGCCATCAAGCGTCAACAGGCCAACTTGGGGGAAAATGGAAAACAAAGCCCGCCACTCCACTATTTCCGGCCACTAGTTACACGTGTGGATTTGGCCAGTTTTGCCATTTTGGCCAATGGATACTGTGTAATGGGTAATGGGTTTTGGGGCTAAAAACGCGGCATTGCGGTCGTGCGGTTATTAAACATGTTGGGCACAAGCAACCCGGCAATGTGAGTGCCTCGGAAAAACAATAATCCAACTGCTGATGTTGATTTTCCACGCCGCTGTTGTTGTTGTTGTTGTTGCTGCGTGCGCCTGCATGCTGATTTCCGTTTCCTGTTTACGAGCACAAGCACAACCACTCACACGCTCACACAGAGAAGCCCCTTACAAATACAAATACAGCGGCACGGAAAAGCGTGTAAATATTCAGGGGCATTTTCCACAATATGAAGCGAAATTTTTACGGCATACATTTTTAATAAACCCCTATCCCAGCTGCAGGTCCTCCGAGGCGTCTTTTATTCCACAAGCCATATTTCCGATTCGTTATAGGTACAGTTGTGTTCAAAATAATAGTGATATTGCAATGATTTCAATATGAGAACTGGTTGGCTTGCATATAAATTTTAACTTAAAAGTTACTTTAAGAGTAATGGTATTTGAAATTTGAACGCAAATTTAATTTATTAAAATAAATTTAAAATAATTAATATCTCCTAATGAACTCTGTAATGATCTGAATGAATTAATGTTTATTTTGAGCAACGGCTTTTGAAGCACAATTTTTTAACTCAGCCTTGAAAGTGCTGATGATTGCAAGTGCTATTATTGTAAACACATCCATATTCACGTATCCGCATTCATTCATATATGCATAGGTGGCTGCGGCTGTGTGCGTGATGCCGTCGATAAATATAAATATGCTCTTGAGAGTTGGTCAACGGAATCTTTATACCTCCCACTTCAACGTCGACCATCTTTGTGTCTGGTTTTCGTTTTTGCCTCGATTTGTGTGTTTTACATACAACTCCGAAACACCTGCCACCTAAAGTTGAAATGGGTGCTTCTTTTTGGGACTTGAGCTGGCTGAAATAAACATTTACTTCTTGCTAAACAGATTGAAGTACTGTTACGGATAGAAAACGTAGTATTAGAAGTTTGCATCTATGAGCTCTTTGGCCTGCGTCCTTTATCTTTATAGATTAAACATCGATTTTAATCCGCATCACCCTGTTGGGCAGATGGTGTTTATGGCCAACAGCTTCGGCAGTTACATCTGTTATTTGTTGCCATTTCGCTTGTCGACGGCGATTATTGTAAATCAACTTTGAGCCAAACCAACTTCAAGTGGTTGTAACACTTGTTGTAGCTCCCATTGCTGCCTGTACAACTGGGTATTTGCCCATGTTGTTGTCACATCTGTAATCGCATTGGATATCGCATTAATTTTGCAACATTGCCACGCCAATGCGACAAGGCAAAAAAGAAATAGACGTGCAAAAAGGAAAATAAATGTTAATCGAGTTCTTGGGACTGACAGCCGATTGAGGTGAGCACGAATTGGATTGGTTTATGGGTTCAGAATGGCTTTACATCATGCCTGACTGCCCAGCCATTTCCCAGCTAAATTCTGAAGCCGCCCCTCGCCACACACACAAATACACATACGTAAAGTGTACACACATCTCACAGTCAGCGGAATGTCCTTGCGGTTTCTGAGCGGTTTTGCGTAGTTCTGCATTTGACATATGCGGTGAATTGTAAAATACTCAAGTCAGCAGACGCTATGCAAGAAATTTTAGCCACAAACCGCCGCCCGTTCTCGTTCAAATTTCCACTCCAGCAGCAAGGACATCCACACTCGCATTCCTCTTGGCTTTAATTTTTATTGTGGTCAAAGCAATATTTGGGTAATATTCAGAAAACCAGCAGGCTAATGCCAAAAAGACAGTTGAAAGCTGGCTCCAAAATTGGGTGGCTTAAAGTTCACGATTTATGAGAAGTTTCCGACTGGTAGATGGATTTCAGGAGCTTTGGTGTGGAAAAACTTTATCAGCCAAAGGCTTACATAGCTTTCTAAAGAGCCTAGATTATTTGCAGGACTTTTGCGACTTTTCAAAGCTTTCGAAGGAGCAGGGATTATTTACGGAACTTTTTCGTCCTTTAAAGCTCTAAAGTGCCGCAAAAAGGTCTCCTAGCGGAGTCAATCTCGCGTTTCAGGAGCTTTAAGGTGTTTTCAATTCTCTCGCTTTTAAGTTATTCAGTTTGAAATAATAAACCGATATTAGCATCCGCAAAAAAAAGCTAAGTCATAAGCAATTTTAAGAAGACTACTTTTTATATAATACAATTTTAAAATAAAGTTTGAAACAACTAATTCGGAGGCATAGCACCTGATCTTAAAAAAGAAAGTAATTTAAACAAAAATCAGAGAACTGAACTGGTTTTTAACTTGGGTAAACAGACATATTTTGATTTGTACAATTTTTTCCAAGCCAAAATTGTATAATAAGTTGAAAAAAAAATACAGATCAATGAAACTAACTATATGAATGGATCTCAGGTAAAAATATGAAAAACCAAGTTGATTTCAAGAAATCACTTAGCTGAACTTCGGTTTGAAAAGCTATCGACTCTTGCCCAAAAAGCTCAGCCAGGACAATAAAAGCTCAATTCCTTCGATCAGCTGTTTTCGGGACCATTATCTTTTGGCGCCCAAAATCCACAGGAGTGTGTGTGTTGTGTGTGTGCCGAAGCGTAAACAATAAAAACGCCCGGCCCCATTTACGCACACTAGTGCACACTGAACACCGACACAGCGAACTCCTTCAGCGCACACACACATGCACAGTGGACACACACACGCAGACGCAGCAGAGATGGCGGACGGAATTTACCGTTTGTTTCGCTTCGCCATTGAGTTTTTGGCATTCAGTTTTATTTTCACTTTCAGTCGTCGTTTGACTTCCGTACGGAAGCGTTCGCTCTGTCGCGTTCGTCCCTCTCACTCTCTCCGACTTCGACTCTCTCTACTGTTATTATTATTTTGATATTTGCTGGCCATTATTTCGCTCAGTGTAGCTCAGTGTAGTAGGAAAATGTAATCAACTCGAAGAACAAGACCTCAAAAAAACACACACACAGAGGAGTATATTGTGACAAGAAATCATCCATTAAAGGTGGGAAAAGCGGGGAAAGTTGCTTAAAAAAACAGAGAAATATATAGAACAGCTGTAGTTGTTGTTGCTCTCGGCGCTGCTGTGTGTGTGTGTGTGTGTGTGTGTGTGCATGTGTGTTCGTTACGCCATTTAACCCCTCCTTCAAATTATCCTGCTCTGTTTTACTTACTCAATGAAAGCAAAACAATCTACACAGAAGAACAAGAAGAAAGAACTAAAACAACAAGCAAATAACCATTAAAAAGTGCACTGAAGAAAAATATCAAGTTCGATAATGAATGCTTCTTAATATTCGAAATGTGAAGGCGTTTTTAAAATACTGTTCAAATTTAAGATTTCAAGCTAACCAAGAAATACAATTTGAAATTTCAAAGTTAATATTTTGAGCTAAGCAAGAAATACAATTTGAATAAACATGTATTGTATTAACTTTTTACCAAAATATCGGGTATTCTAATTTAACTTGCAAGTTTATATAAATTCATATTTTTGAGCTTAAGATTTGGAATAATAAGTTCATTTTCTCAAACTAATATGTATACTAAGAGCCTTATAATAATAAACCATTTCATGAAGGAAAGCCCACAATTCAATAAAAAGTAATAGTTATACTTAATTACCCAACAAATAATTATTTTTATTTAATTAAAAATGCATGTTTGATAAATCAATGTAACCATTAGGTTTTAGGGAAACAGCAAAACCAATGATCCTAACTATGTTGGTGAATTTAATGAAAACTTATTAGGGCAGCATAGTTTTTTTTGCAGTGCTGCTAAGCATGTGTGCGTGCCAGGCACATAAATCCATGAGGACATTTTTAATTTCCTGCTGAATGGCGAGCAGAATGCAAACAAATAGCTGACAAACGGGGCAAAGTGTGTCAAAGTCCGTGCTCATATCGTCAGACTGCAGCAGCTGTTTAAAATGCATGCCCAGTATGCTACTATAATATAATACCCTATAGTACCTATGGCATATACTATGGCATACCACCACCACCCACAATGCCCGTCCTATTTATGCGTTCCATCTTGGCCCACAGTAGAAGACTAAAAGTTTGCCCAACCTAAAGCCGAGGGCTGTATATTTTGCTGCCTTTGCCGCCCTTTTTTTCCTTTCCCATCTTGGCCCGCTGGCAGTGCTCCTTTTGGCCATGTTCACTGTTTGCACACAGCTTCAGATCCTTCAGATGACTGTGTGTGTGTGCGTGTGTGTGTTTGTGGTTGTGTGTGTTTGGCATTGATATATGCCAGTGCTTTGGTTAGTGCAGAGCACCCCAGAGTGGCCACTGATACGACAGACAGATGGGCTAAAGGATAATACGAGGTTCGGGCTATTATCTCAATTTCACAATGCACTTTTGCACGACGAAGACATAAAGATTGCATGTACGTTGTGTTTTTGTAGGATACTCAAATGCCATACGATTGGATTACAATATCTATACCTCATTTTGATTACTTGCATTATTCACTTGTTTCTCAGCTTAAGCTATAAGCAGAAGTTACTACAAAGCTAGTTGAAATAATTGCGAAATATTTGAGTTCTCGCTGGCAAGTATTAAGCCTTTCGCAACTTCCGCTGACGAGCACTCCCCGTTTTACAAGCGGAAACTTTCAGGCGAAGAATTTGACTTACGAAGAATTTGGCGCCGCCCCTTATGGCCAAAATAGTTTCCTGTTTGCGCACACATACACGCATGCGAAAAGCAAGCTGGCGAAAATTCAACAAGACTGTTCAAGGCCATCGAAACGAGAAGGGGTTTCAAATTGAGAGCCACAGAAACCAAATTGATTGCCCAAAAAATGCGAGAAGGCGAAGAAAGCGAGGAAAGCGGTTGCAAAACCTATGTAAGCAACTGACCGGCCACATCAATCATACGCAGTGTTGTACGGCGTCGCAAACATTTGCATAGGCTGCTGCCCACTTGACCGCCTTTCCATTGGCGGGCATTATGCAAATTGCAAACGTGGGCCAAGTTTTTTTGAAAAGTTTCCCCAGTTTTCTTGCTCCATCTCTGCCAAACAGCTGGCGCTGTTGAAGTTTTCCAGTTTTCCAGTTTTGCCAGTTTCTCAGTTTTATGCTAATACTTTCTGCAAAGATTTCCCCCCCGCTCCTCACATGTGCGTAGCATCCAGGATTCAATTGAAATTTTTGTTTCTTCCGCTCTGCCACTAAGTCGTTTATCTGGCACCGAACAGTGCCGGCAAATTGAATCAACAGCTTAAAGTTACGGGATAGCACATCATTATAATCATGACATCGGTCGCATTATGCGGACGCGTTCAGGTTAAGTCGCTTGACATCGCCGCGATTATGCAAATGTGGAGGGGTTTGAAAAGGCAGCCAGAATTTATTGCCCAAAAAGCCGCCAAGGCCTTGGGGCCTGATGATTGCATAAACAGCTCATTAAAGGACGCACACACACAAAGAACGGCATTAGGCGGCAAAAATCTTGGGCGAAATGGGGCGGGCAAATCTTTACGACGCACATCTCTAATTTAGTTAATGCCCAACGCACAACATGGCGTATGTGTGTCCAAAAGTCAGGGCACGAAAATCCGGCAGGCGAGACACTGGAACAAAATCATGTGAACCACCTGTTGTGGTGTAGATATATTTGATTTCGCAAAAGCCAATGAAAAGCTCTACCACCGCTAAGTAATGAAGCACATGCCAGAAATATGCATTTAATTATTTAAAAAAGTATTTGTTTCCCTTTTTTGTACTTTTCAATAGCATTATTTGCATTATCTTTTTGCACGTGTACACCTAATGCATGCTATTATGGCCATTCTTATTTGATTAATGAGCCATTTGACTGGGAAACAGCAAAAGACGCTATGAGTATAACAGAATTCGTGGCCAAAACGCCTTGAGCACTTTTCGTTATCCAAAAAGTGGCAACAGTTTGGCCGGTTCTCAGAAGGCTAAGCAACTTTCCGCCTGCAAACTAATAAGCCATCTCATCGCATCGCATCGCATCGCATCATCTCATCTCATCTAATTCCTTGACGGATGCGTAATCCATGTGATAATAATCAGCTACAGCTTCATCATGGTGGAGATACAAAAGCCGCACTCGGCCCTAAAACGACCATCGCTGAAACGGGAAACGGTCGTTGTTAACAACAGTGCGCCGACCATCAAAAAGGTGACTCTGGTGCCCAAGGACGAGGTGAGCAAGGATCTGTCAGCCAATTTGCATTCATTTGCGGCTGGAAAGTAAGGCTTCTCTGGCCGCATTATTAGTGTCATATTTATAGCTTAATTACTCAAAATTACTCATGTGTTGGTATTTAAATTGCATGCAGAACAGAACAATTGCATTGCTATTGGACATTGACAAATACCAGTTGAATGGATTGATTCTAATTTTACTAATAAACTGGAGTGCATTATAATCATGCAATGTCCCTCTTTTTAAGGTCGGTATATCTGATAGTTGAGACCAATTTGTCGCCCACATTTCGGCCATACTTGTCGGCCACATGCGACACCAAAGTGCTTCGCGGCTCTGGAATATTTTAGCCAAGTCAATTAAGTATGCAAATGCGTTAGTCTTTGTCTTCGTCTTCGTCTTCGAGAGCAGTGGAAAATGTAGAGGTTCTAGACACGAATGGATGGGATTAAGTGGCTTGCTTTTCCTACGCTCATTTAATTGCTTTCAGACGCGCCGCAGATATAAAGTCCTTGGTTCTTGGTACCTTTTCTTGCCAGGATTCATAAATAATACAACATGGGCCAGATTTCACAGTTTATAAATTTCCGAATTATACACTTGAACTTGGGAGCGGGTAATTGAGTGGGAGTGGCACTTTTTAGGGCTTTCGATTGGCATTTCATTATTTCGGGTCTCGGCCATAAATAAAACACAAACTGGATTTGCCATATCGATTGCCATATCGAGAGTCCTGCGGCAATGCCATCAAAAGCAGCCGCGTCCTGGGTTTTCACTGCCTTTCCCCGCCAGCATTTTCCGGCAAATCTTCGGCCATAAATAAGCGGTCCTGTTCTTTATTACCTAATTTTTTGTATTTTTCTTGAGTCGGAAGTAGCGCATATAAATTAATAAGAGAAAATAAATTTGAAATACAATTTTGAGGGCTGCCCAAATTAAATTTGCTCTACTGATTCACTTGCTCACCCTTTCCACAGTTGTTAAACTCGTTTTAAGTTGGCAAACTTTTCGGCTGGCGACAAATGGGGCAAAAGTTTTCCAGTAGCTGATTACGGGTTGTTTAGAGGGTTAAGGGGCTCTGCGGGTTAAGCCATACATCCCCAGATTCGTTTTTAATTATCCTCATTTGTGAAATGTGACTGGGTTGTGAAAATTTGAACATAACTCCTTGGCTTTATGGCAATCGAAAGGGATTTAAATGGCAACTGAATGAGTTACTTGTGATATGTTATTTTCACAAATAAATTGTACATTCTATGCTGGCCAAATCAAGGTTGCTCTTTTCCCAAAACGCCGATCCTTATTGTAACATATGTATGTCTTCGACAATCCAACGAATTTCCCAACTTTTCCCATGAAGTTTTGCTGCAATTTGTGGCCAAGATTAGATGCTGGCGAAGCCCGAAGTGAAAGGCAGCGCAAACTTGGATCAATAAATAAAAGTAGACAATAAATTTTGCATGCCGGGCAAAAGTGGCGATAAGGATAAGCTCTGTGCTATTCCGCTTTCAATGGGTAGAGTTTTTACCCTTTCATTAATAATTGTCAGCCACGCATGAGGGAAATGTGGAAATGTGAAAATGTGGGCCACGAATGGGTGGCAATGGTCACCGTATAAATGGGCCAAAGGACCAAAAGTCCATCATAATGACATAAGTTTTCGCTTCATGTGTGCCGCTGTGTGTGTGGGCAGTAAAACTTTGTGTACCTTTCTCTATCACTCCCTATTTCTACTCCCCTTTCTATATCCCTACAATGCACGGAAAAGAATTCTTAAATTTCTTTTCGAGTTTAGAGTGTTTATGTGTCATGCTTATGAATTAAAATAAAACAAGAATGCTGCTTGATCCCTAAGTCCAAAATAATAATAAATTTAAAATAATCTAATTTAATTAAATAAAACCATTTGAATTCACGTCATTCAATTTCGTTTTTGCTGTGCAGCATAACGACTTTCTTCGCTTGTGCCTCATATAGCCTTCAATGTTGCAAATGATTTTTTCCACCGGTCCTCAGGAGACCCATTTTGGAATGCTTCCCAGTCTTTATTCACCCCATTTAGCCCATTTACCCACTGCCCACCGCGTTTTCTATATCTACTGGTTTGCGTAATATTTGCGCCTATTCTGCCTCTTCTTCGGCCCAGGGCTATAACTTTTTTCTGTGCAATTTCTAATTAAAAGCCGACAGTTAGTTGAGCGTGGACAGCCGAAAAGTATGGATCAACACGCCTGTTCAAGGACTCAGGAATTCATTAGATTACTCGTTGCTGTTGCTTGCCCGCCTTGCGAGTCGATTAGTATTAAGATTGAGTGCGAACATATCGGCCTTGAAGGAAACTCATTTGCCCGGCAGGACACTATGCATTTTGAAGTATACATATAGATAAGTATTTCAAGCTGCTTTAAATGAAATGCCATTTTAATAGGGTGTTCAGGTGAATAAGTTGGCTGCAGCAGGTGCTAACCGAGCATAAAATCTTCAATCATTTGTGTGAGAGAAGTTAGGATTACTCGTATAAGTTTTATATAGCGTGATTCTAGCATGCGATCCTGGGGAGAATCCTTTGTTCCGCGGAAGGGTTTATGACTTCATCCGCTGGCTGCTGGCCACGGAGTTGATCCTATTTTAAGAAGCTCTAAGTTTTTATGTTAACAATGCTAATTTCAATCTAGTTTTTTTGCTTTCATCACTTGGCAGTGGAAAACCAAGGCACAAAGCAACTCAATAAAGAGAAACTTTAGTACTTACTTAGCATTCCTTCTAGGGCTTCGTACAACTTTTCAATCCTGGCCTGCCATTGTTCCGCAGAAGGGTTCATAATTTGATTCCTCGACTAGTGGCCACGAATCTTATCGCCATGCAGCAGCTAGCGTCGCCACATATTCGTCATTGTTTTTCGGCAGCATCCGGAAATCCAATTAAGTACTTCACGACTTGCGGACGGCCCGAGCATTAAAAAACCCATTCGCAAAAAAACCAAAATTCTGAAATTCCTGCCTTTCGTCGGGTTTTTGTGGGTTCAGGGGAGAATGTTTATGGTGGGCCATTAAATGCAGCTGCAAAAACCGCCACAATGTCTCACACATGAATTTTTGAACAAGGACATAAACCCCTTTTATGCAACACTCAAAAGCTCCATAATAGTTGCACTCAAATATTTGCAGAGTCTTATCTCGATTAAAAAATTAATTCCGTAGTCGGAAAAGGCCAAATATATTTCTTAGACCTCTTAAAAGGACTGAAAAAGTTCGATTGAAATGTTTAATAACAATATATGATATTTTTCAGCAGTGCTGTCGCCATTTTAAAATTGTTTTTCCACAGACACAAGCATAAACATTTTTTTTTGCATACTTTATAGTTGTTTTTGCCATTCATGTAGAAATATTAGCTCCAGGCATTTTCCGTCTGTTTTTTGCTTTAAAGGTTGCATTGCTATTTACTTCTTGCTCCACATCATTATCTTTTTAGTACTGTTTCTGCTATAGCTGGAACATCCTTTGTGCCAGGTCATTATTTGCTGCAGGAAAATATAATGGTTTGAGCAGGATGTGAGTTAAATATTTTGTGTTTTTGGAACGGGCAGCTTTGGATTAATCCTGCAAGTGAGTTATAAAGTGCAGGCCAAGTCGGAAAATGCAATCATGGCCGGCCAGGATATGGAAAACCGACACGGATACGTGGAAACCAATCCTTTGTGGTCCGACCGCAATGGCGAACACAAAAACAAACACACACACCTACACACTGCAGTGTGGAGGTAAAGTCAACAATAACAAAGTATCCTCTGCTCAAGCATATGCACTTGTCAATGGCATCTCCTCCAGAGTGGCAGCCCATAAAAGATGCATCCTAACCCAGTTCGGCCCACAGAAAGCAACCAATCCGATCCGAACATGGCTTTGTCAGCTGTCGGCTTTGGTTGCAGTTAAATGGAGCACGAAAAAACAACAGGAAAGCAAACAAATTCCATTGAAATCGGCAAAAAGGTTATCATTTTTCCACCAGCCAAAAAAAGGCTCAAAGCGAAATACAATTAATTTGCTTCCTAAAACATCACAATCTAGTATAAGAAATAAATTGGAAATTTTCCCGGCCATTCCGCGCTATCCAGAGCATTTTCCCTGTGCATTCGCTGGTCGGGCATTGAACAATCGGAAAACAAGTCGAGACGTAATCACAGAAAATTACGGCAAAGTACGCAAAGCCGCAGCCTGAATCCGGGGACAGGAACAGGAACAGGAGCAGGGAGAGGGAATCGGAATCGGAATCCGACATCCGGAATACGAAATGCAAATGCAGCTCTTGAATCGATAATACAGCGGATGAGGCGGTCCCAGTCCCGCACTTTCCTCCAATGGGCATTTAATGAGCTGTGAACGCGTTCACAAAGCGCCTGCACTTGGCGTCCTGCCCAAGGACCAACAACAAAGAGCCCATCCGACGACAATGGGCCAGGAGCAGACCAAGACCAACAACTTCAGTCACTTGCGCATAAATTATGCGTACTCCTAGTCACGTATACGCCCCGTGTGTCGGGGCTTCGGGCATATTGGCACGACCATTTGGAAGCCAAAAACATTGCTTTGATGGCTAATAACACTTTGCAGGCACTTACACTAAGTTTCTCCAACTAGCCGGCTTGAACACCATGTGAATCAAATGCAGGGAATTTGACTCTCATTCTTGCCATGTTGATGCTGCACTGCAATTCGTTGAAATCCAGGTAAACCGCCAGTCGAGTGCCGATGAGAGGTCCTTTCATTTTCAGTTCACACCCACTGCTGGCGACGACAATTGTCACACCTTTTTACGGCCAGGGTCGCATTAATAGCTAATGAAGGAACATCAACGACCCGACCACATGACAGTGGCAATAAAAAAGGCCGCAGGACGAAGGACAATTGGCCGCCATCAAATGCCCGGCAATTTGCTATTGGGTCTCCCTTTTTGTGGCCATAAATTGCGAAACTTTTGGCTCTTGTTTTCCCTGGTTTTCTCTTTCCGCATCCTGCTCCGACTTTTCCGTAATTAATTTGCCAGTTTATGTCGCGTTTAAACTGCTCGTGCTTCCGGAAAAACTTGTACACATGTACATTTAAATTCAGCCTATGGCATAAAGTTCGATGCAAATGCAATGTGTTCTTCACTTGCTGGCGGATATGTAATCAAATTATCTATAATGTGGTTTATAAACCCGCCAGCTATTTAATATTTCATTAAATGGGTCACGCAAAATAATATTCCTGTAGAAATCATACATGGCTTAAGAACTAAAAACTTTAATTTATGCCACCGCATTTAGGGTTTTCTGAAAATAAAAATGCATTTATAACTGAAAAATGAGTGTCGTAAAGTTGTGAATCGAGTTAAGGTTAGCTGATTTTACGACCCCCTATTAAAACTTTTTGATGACGCTCGTCGGCGGAGATTAACATGCACATTCCCAGTATATAAAGTGGATTTAACAGACCACAAAAATAAAACAAATGCATGGGGCCATGAAAGTGCAGCGGTCTCTGGATTTGGGCAACTTGCTCCTTGGCAACCGAATTGTTGGCATTCTAAAGCCCCAACAACTAATTTCAATTAGCACTTTTGGCCTCGCATGGCAACCGGGAAATCCCCTTTTCTGTTTCTGTTTCATTTACGTCTTGCCACTCGCCGTTTACCATACAGAATTTCCCATTTCCACACTTCCACAGCCAAGTGCATATCAATTTTTAATTCGATTTCAGCCCAAGCAGTGCCATTGATTGCGAGTGTAAGCCACTTCGGGGACTTCGGCCGGAATCGAATTTGCAAAATGCGACTGCGAAAGGGAAAATGGAAATTGAAATGAAAATGAGTGGGTACAGTAACCAAAACCAAAACCAAGTCCAAATGCACAGCTCCGAGTTCTGCGATAAGAAATCCGAGTCCTGGTTAAGTGGAACTCCTCGGCTGGGGCAGGATTTTATCTGGGCGTGGCAAAAAAAGGGCGGCACCTTAAAATAGTTTAGTACTTAGCATGCTCAGTTTGAAATAGGGAGTGGAAGCTCGAAAATGTTCATTAGGGAGTGTACATTCAATACATCAAGTTAAGATATACAACTTAATTTCCGAAGATGTAGGAATAAAGGGGCTACAGTGAACGATAACTTCTCTTGTGAATGCCCAAAATATTCCCACTTTATCCGTGGCTATGCCATTAGCTTAATTAAATCGAAAACTAGGCGCAGTATCATGCAATACCCAATTAAAAGGAAATTGGGAATTTGCGAAATATTGCATGCGAATTAGGAGTGAAGCGCAAGCATTTACAAGTCATGAATTTGGTACATAATATAAGAACGTAATATAACGAATAGCCATAATGTTGAAGTCAATACTAAGAGCTGGTTTCACTTTGCCATTTTCCAGGAACTGGTGGCCATTTCTCCGGAGCGCCGCAACTGGCGTGGCATCTTCATCGCCCTGCTGGTCATCGCCGCCGTCTTCAGCCTGATCATATTCTCGATCTTTCTGCTGTCGCCGGAGGATGAGGGTCTGCGGATCCGGGGTCGCCGTATGCTGCCCAGCGACATCCTGGGCAGGAGCCTCCAGTGGAAGCCCTTCAACGGCACCTGGAGCAATGGTGAGTTCTGCCCGCCGTAATGCAAGTCCTTCTTAACAAAAGTCCATTTCGCAGGTCGTGAGCTCATTTATCGCGACCCAACGGGCGGCCTTTCCATTCTCAATATGGCCGATCTTACCACACGCATTCTTATGACCAATTCAACATTCGTAAGTTGCTAAAAAAGAAAGAAATATAATACATTTTAGTTTGTATCAACGAATGCATTCCTATATTTTTAGCGCCAACTGAATGCGGAATCATTTCTTGTCGCACCTGACCAGAAATACGTACTACTGCAATCGGACTCAAATGCCGAGGGCTCCAGGTGGGTAATCTCATAGAATTTGACCAAGAAACCATGTTACAAATTGTACTTTCATTAAATATTAAGGTCTATTAAACCAAAATTAGTTGAACCGATTTCCATTAAATTATTTGTATAAATTCCACCTCTTTTCCGGACAGACATCACGTATACGAGGTGCAGACGGCCAACACATTTCCGCTGGGTCCAACGGAGAACATAGCGGAGGCGCCACGCCTCCAGCACGTGGTGTGGGCGCCAGCGAATCCGCCGCCACCGCTTGGAGCACCACCACCCAGTGGTGCCAGCGGTGCCAGCGGCGCCAGCACCACCACAATGGCCCCGCTGCCCAGTGGCAGCATAATCCTGAACAGCCTGGCTGGGGCTGCCAATGGACCAGCATCCACGGGAGTCTCCGGCTCCTCCGGTCCAAATCCAAATGGCAAGGCCGGCGGCTACACTTTGAACCAGGCCATCGCCTTTGTCCACCACAACGACATCTACTACAAGCCCAAGGTGCAGGGCGAACTTGTGTGCCGGATAACGCAGACGGGATCGGGTTCGCTGGAGGGCGAATCCACAGGGGTGGTGTTCAATGGGGTGCCCGATTGGATGTACGAGAATGTGCCGGAGCTGGAGAGCCGCCGCAGCAGCATGGAGTTCTCGCCGGATGGACTCTTTTTGGCCTTCCTCAGCTACAATGACAGCGAGGTCAACGAGTACAAGTGAGTGAAAGTTCCTAAAAAAAATAAGCATATTTACAACAATAGTGATTTCTTCTGTAATTTCTCCAGATACACTTGGATGGGCGATGATGTCAAGTACCCGGCGGTGATGAGCCAACGCTACCCCAAGACGGGTTCCCGCAATCCGAATGTGACGGTCAACGTGGTGAATCTCTCGGTGATTAAGTACATCTTTCCCACGCAGATCAAGCTGCCGAGTGAGCTCTCCAATGGAAGCTACGTGGGCGGCCTGACCTGGGCCTCATCCACTGACCTGTCGGTGACGGTGACCAACCGTGAGCAGACCAAGGCCACCACGGTGCTGTGCAGAGCTCCACACTTCCACTGCCAGGCGGTGCACACGGAGGTAACCATTAACGATGGCTGGGTTCTGCCATCGGAACGGCCCATCTTCTCGGTCCGCAACCAGGGACACAATCGGCTGGCCAAGATGGTCCAGAATGCGGAGGAGATCATGGCGGAAAGTCAGAATGTGAATGTGACGGATGGCCAAACGCACACGACCCACGAGATCAGCAATGGTGGCTACCTGCTGAAGCGTCTGCCGGTGCGGGATGGCGAACACGGTCACTATCGCCACGTGGTCTTCATATCCTCGCTGGACCGACGACCCGTTCCCCTGACCATGGGTCGGTTCGAGGTCACCGAGATCGTCGGCTGGGATGAACCGCATGAGATCGTCTACTTCATGGCTGCGCCGGAGAAGAGACCTGGCGAACGGCATCTGTACAAGATTAACCTGAAGCTCAATGTCACCGAATCGAATCGGACGTACATCACCTCCACATCGCCCACCTGTCTCACCTGCGACAACACGGAGTCCACGTATCGGCTCCACCGGGCCAGGATCTCCCAGCGGGGCGATCGGTGGGAGGACATAGTGGCTCGCCTGGAGCCGGACGATTGCCTCTACGATATACCCAAGAATTGCCTGTTCAATCGGGTGCAGTTCAGCCAGGACTACAGCTACTATGTGCAGGAGTGCCTGGGTCCGGAGGCACCCAGTGTTTACCTGGTGGAGACGGCCAGCAATGACAAGATTTATGTGCTAAATGCCGGCGATGTCCTGCGCCACCGGCTCTCCCAACTCGCCATTCCGCAATCGCGCACATTCAGCGTGGAAATCCGGCACGGATTCCACGCCCAGGTGCGGCTCTTCCTGCCACCCGGAATGCGAGAGGAGGAGGACGTCGCCTTTCCACTGGTGCTTCACGTGTAAGTTGCTATTGTCTCTTTATCTCTTCAGCTAGGGTAGACAAACGGACGCTGTATTAACAAATTTCTAAATCTTACAACATTACCTGAAACTAATGATTTTTTTTTTTGGAACCCCAGCGATGCCTCGCCGGGATCACAGTTGGTAACAGAGCGCTTCCACGTCGACTGGAACTGGTATTTGGCCAGCCAGAGGAGTTTTATAGTGGCCCAGATCGATGGGCGTGGCAGTGGCTTCCAGGGCGAATTGCTCCGCACCCAGGTACACGGAAAACTGGGCACCGTCGAGGTGGAGGATCAACTAGGAGTCCTAACGTAAGGGAATCTCAATGAACGATGAACAGCATTTAGTACATAGGAATATAATATATTTCACTTTATAGGTACCTGCGAGACAACCTGAAGTTCATCGATCCGCTGAGGATCTGCGCCTTTGGCTGGGGCTACGGTGGCTACGCCTCCTCCATGATGCTCATCGACGACTCCCAGCAGGTGCTCCAGTGCGCGGTGGCGATCAATCCCATTGTCAACTTTGGATTCCACTGTGAGTGGCCCTTCCACATCCCGACTAATGAATTGAAAATAAATATATGCGTCATCATTAACATTATACATTACGCTGTAGATAACAATATTTAAGATGCAAACTGTTTCGTTTCTAATAACACCACTGATGTGCATCCCTTCCTGCAGATTCCTTCTTCACGGAGCGCTACATCCCGCTGAAGGGCGACTACTTGCGTGCCCTCCAGGAGGCGGATCTCACGATGAAGGCGGGCAACATCAAGGGCCGCAATCTGATGCTGATGCACGGCACTGCGGACACGCTGGTGCATCAGGAGCACACGCTGATGCTGGTGCGGGCGCTCGTGGAGCAGCAGGTGAAGTTCCGGCACCAGGTGTATCCGGACGAGGATCACACCATCGCCCGGTCGCTGAGCCACGTCTACAAGACGATGGAGTGGTACTTTGACGAGTGCTTCGGCCCCGTGGACGACAACGAGTGGGACCCCACGGGTCTATTCGTGTTCAAGCAATAATTAAGACCCCCCTACGATCCTTACGACGAGGATCCGCTGGCCAATCAGCTCAGCGACATCGACATCGGGCCCGCCACCGATGGGCATCCGAATGCGGATGCCGCCGGCGATTCCGCCGGCAGCAATCTGTCCACCCTGCTGACCGCCACCACGACGACCGCCTCGCTATCGGCGCTCGACGAACTAGACAACCGCCTGCAGGCCCTGGACCTGATCACCTCCTCCACGGCCACCACCCTCAGCAAGGTCTCCGGCAAGCTGTGCAACTACAGCAGCAAGCGCCGGCTCCACCAGTCGGAGGTCGTGCTCGCCCAGAAGTCGCGCATCCTCCAGCACTAGGGGATTCACTCAAGGGGTGTCCTCCTCCGTGTGTCAAGCGTGTGTTTCCCGGGTGGGCAGATCTATCCTCATTTCACTTTCGACACGAGTTTGCGGAAGTTCTTTACATTTTGATGCTCTAATTTGTTTTGATCATTTTAAATGATTTTTTAGCACTTGTTTGTCCATATAAATTATCGAATATTAAATTTAAAATAATTAATTGTTAACTGAAGTCGAAATCTTAAGTCTTTCATTCAACTCCGCTGATTGTTGACGAAAGTGAAAATGAGGATAACGTATCCAATTGCAGGTCTTCTTAAAGTTTAACTTAATTTAAAGTTCGGTTAATTTTGCTAAATTTTAAAATGTACTTGGGTTCCGCAAATTTGTAACGAATATGAAAACAAGGAAAGGTTTTAGTGTGAAAGTGTGGATTCTCCAAAGGCATTTATGGGTACACTTTTTTAAGGAAGTAGACTAGATTTTAAGGATTTTAATTTGGGAGAGAATGTACCAAGTTTTAGCATTTTTAAAATTTATAGAAATCAAAATGGCTTTGATTTCATGTTTAAAATATTTATTATTTACCAGAATTCATTGCTTACAAAACTTAAATATTTATTCAAAATCTTTTGCATTTTTAAAATACGAGCCACGATCAAAATATTTTGAATAGGTATAAATTATTAACTTAATTTTTTGAAATAGATTACTTGCTTATAATATTTTAGAAAAATTCATGTTTAGGTGAAGCTTTCCTTAAATCGATTATTTTTTTATGAGTGTTTCTTCACTAGAAAAACAAATCGAAAAGGTTAATTCAAATATCGAGAACTATATATATATTTCGGTTTTTATGATTTTGCCGGCGAGAATCGGTGTGAATGAGAATCGAGAAAACAGAGTAATAAGAAACAAAACCAAAGCAAGGTGATTCATTTATGCGACTGATTATTAACATATGTGTATTAAATAATTAACCAAACCGATGGTGCGAGGGGGTGACGATGATGTAACGGGCCGGCGAGATGTCGATGTCCTTGACGTAAGGATACAAATGTAGGGGATTTACCTAATTGCAAATGGCAAACCGAATACAGCGCGAAATGTGTGTCATGGTGTATGTAATTCGTTTAGACCTCATTGTTGTTTCTTTACGTGTTCGTTTCGATGTGTATAAACATGTAGTTATAATTGACTGAACGTTATTTTTTTTTGTATATATTAATGATTAAATTTTAAAGTGAAAGCGAGCGCGCTAATCGTATTCGAAACTTATTGAAACAATTAAACAAGTCATGTCCAAATGAAAGGAGGAGAGAATATCTTTTAAATAGCCAACAAGTGTTTGTGAGTAGTCATGAAAAATCGAGATCGTGAAATAAAAACTTAATGCCCCATTGAATGTTTGTGATAGTCGAGAGTAGGCGACTATAAAATACCCTGTACTCCATAGATACCGATCCCGATGGTGATCGTGGTCCTTCTCTCCCGACTTTCGGTGTGCAAAAGCTTTAATCTTCATATCCATTCGACCTTCAATGCTGTGGATACAGGGTATTTCCAGCTGTCTAGCATCCAACACAGATCTAATTTTTAATCTAAATATATATTGAAACTGAATAGAGCGGAGATTGTGCCACACTAAAGACAAGTCCCAGGCTTGCAAAACCCCCTATATCGATCGCATTGGATCAGGTATACATATGTTTTATATTTACATATGCGGGGGATTTGGTGTGCTTTAGCGAGAACTAAACAAAAAAACAAATGGCAAAACAATTTTTTTTAGATTTTTTTACCATTAACATTAAACGAAAGGAGGAAGGCGCCAATTCCATATTTGAAATGGCATTTACTTGTCAAAAGCCTAGGTGTTAAATGTTGCGTCAATAAGCGAAATTGAAATTTTATTGTAGCGGGGCCGACGAGAGGCCCCCGACTTCCGGAATCCAAGTAAACCTAAGAAATCCAGATAAAACAATATAGTCAAGCTTTAAATGTTGTACACGATGGGGGGTTGCAGCCACTTGAAACCCAAGTTAACTAAACCAAAAGAAGAGAATGCCCAAAAACAGGCCCGAGAATAAATAAATGTTAAATTTAACTAAACGATAAATGCATATTTATAAATGTTTAAAACAAGAATTCTATAATAAACTAAAGGAAAACTATATATGTAATTGTGCTAAGGCAGAATTTAATGTATTCCAAGCTACCAAAGCGACAAAAAGCCATTAACTACGTGGAACCAAACAATGTAAACGCAAAGCTAACAACAAATACAAAATGCAACATACAACTCATTTCCCTAAAGTACAAAGGAAACGATGGAAACCTATTATTCAGTTGAGCACAAAAACCAAGCCATCTAACACAAAAAAGACCAAAACTGGACAGTATTTAACGAAGTGATTTGGTTTCAAGACAACATCTCAGCATAAAGTATTCAAGCCGAAATCGAACCGAATCCAAATAGATATAGCGAAAGAAAACGAACAAAACTATGTATTTCCAACAAACAGACACAAGTATACCAACAAAGCGATCCAAAGCAACTAAAAACCAAAAAGCGAAACAATAAAGACATTTTTGTGTGTATGCAAAATTAAATAGAAAATGTGTTTCAGAATGTTTTGTAGAATGTGGTCTAAATTTGTGTTGTTTTCAATCGAAACCAATCTGGGGCTTCAAGTCATTGCATCTTCTTTTAGTGATATACATACAATCTATTTGTCGCAGAGTTGTTATTTTCTTGTGGCTGGTCTGCCATGTTGACACACAAACTTTTCGATCGAAGCGAATTCAAACCGGCGCGTGCAATCGTCTGCATGCAACTGCTCGCATTTTCGACTCGCGCACCGATCTATGCTTTACACACGCTAACTGGACTACACATGGCGACAGCGCGACAACGCCGTCGCCTCACACGTAACGGTAGTTTGGCGCTAGTCACATTCTACGTTGTAGTCAAATTTTAAGAATGATTTCACAATATAACGAACTCATTGCGCGGCAGCGTCTAGTTGTTTTGTTAGTTTCTTTGGCAATTGAAAGACGGTTCTAATTAACAAATACAAATTTGGTTTAAGTCGATTTTAATGGCGCCAACGCAAAAAACGAAAATACCAATACTGACTAAATGGCGGAAACTCGATTACTTATCGATATTCGCGAATGTGCACTGACTGGCGAGCAGTCGCGGAGCATGCATTCGCTAACACAGCCCGATAGCTATCGCAATGGTATCGATAGCAGCACTGGCTATCGACCAACCGTACTGTCCGATAGGCTCTGACAAAAAACGCCTGCTTGCATCGATGACAGTCTTGTTTTTGTTGCGTTTAGGTTACGAAATTAATGGGAGGCAGACGAATCCTCGTTCTGCCAATATAAATAGATAGATATAAACAACAACACAAGTGTAAATTACTAGTGATTACCCCGAGAGCCAAACGAAAAAGCAAGTACGTGCAAAAGGTTGGGAAAAGGAAAAAACGAAAGCGAAACGCAGTAGAGTGAATTTATGTTGGTGTGCGTGTGTGTGACGGAAAGTGAAAAAATAGAGAAAAGGAAAATCTATTTTGTTTTAAGGTGCTAAGTGCACATAAAGGCAACCAAAAAATAAATCGTAGATATTAAACGATTATTATAAAAAAACCAAAAATAGTGCCCGTGCATGTGTGTGTGTGTGTGTTTATAGTTTTTGTTTCTTTCGTTTTATCATGCGCTCTCACTCTCTCTCTCTTTTTTTTGTTTTTGTTTTGTTGCCAAAAAACTAAAACCAAAAAAAAATCACACATGTCTGATACACAGGAAAAAGTGCAAAGCAACAGTTGCACATTGAGTCTTTCCTCTCCATTTGTTCATTTTCCTCGATTGAATTGTCAGTCTTGGTGAATTTCGACACTGTTGTAAATATAAAATCTTTGTTAGCAAGTGTGTGTGTGAAAATCCAAAATTCGTCCACGAAAAGAGAGAGCGAGGGCGCAACTCAAAATTTCTTTTCTTTCCGTATTCCGTATTCCGTATTCCAAATCCCGTTTTTTGTTTTGGTTCCGATAGAGACGGCACACACACGGCGTACACATCCTCGCTGCAACTTTTTTGTTTTTGCCATCCCCACCAGAAGAGACAAAAGGAGACGGAGCGAGTGAGAGGATCCAGTGCAAGTGCGTGTGCGAGCGAGAGCAACGATGGATCGCTACGACATGGAGGACGTCGTGGTGGCGCCCCCTGCCGAGTGCACTTCGCAGATCAAGGAGTGGCGCCTCAAGCGCGAGGCGGGCACACTAGACCGCTCTGATATCATCGATTTCTTAAAGCGCGAGTCGCCCAAGTATTTCGATTACCAGACGAGCGGTACGGATACAGGTGAGTCGGGGATGTCATGACATAAAACCCTTATTCGTTGGGAGCTGCCGGAAGGATCAGAAAACAGCTATTTTCTTTTATATGTTTCTGCTTATATGTACATACATACATAGGTATCGTTCAATCCAATTGGCGTTTATTCTTTCAATTCCAAGAATATATATTTTGTTATATGAAGTACTGATGAAGATAGTTTTAAAATAGAATACAGCATTCTTTGAATCAGAAGGCTGGTAATAATGGTACTAAATCGATGTGGCGTCAAAAGTTGGCCGAATCCCATTAAAAACTCTCGCTCTTGAATTATCATTATTCGTCGTGTGTTTTAGTGCTATTTTTGTTCTGCTTTCGTCTTTTGTTTATTGCCATTGAACAATTGCACGCTTTTGTTGAAATTGCTGTTGTTCTCACGTTTTGTCTATTTCACATTTCCGCGAATTCGTTTTTCCTCTGCGCCGTGCTTTGCTGCACCAAGTTTTCCTTTCAATTGGCTCTTCAAGTTTGCCAGCTCAAAAATGACCACCCCCTTATCCGCCCACCGCTCACCTGCCCGCCTTCTCGATTTTCTACCTGTCTCGCCTTCTATGCACACTCACTGTATGGTACACGGTGAGAAATCTTCTGTTATTCATTCATATGTAAATAGAACACTTTCGCAAATATTCATTTTCTTAGGCTCTTTTCCAATTGTCCAATACAACTTGCATGCCCCAATTCTTATTAGATGAGATCTTATAAGCCTAAATTTAAGTGTAAAATGTATGACAGTTTTTGTGGCAATTTTAAATAGCCTGTTCTTATTTTTTCCCGGTGTATGCAAGTCGTTCAACAATGACTAAAGCATGGCCTGGCCTGGCAACAAATAAATTAAGTAAACAAACTCGTTTTCCAACACATTCCGCCAGAAGTTCACATTATCCGAAGCTAAAGGCAACAATGCGACTATTGAAACAAACAAATTGGGAGAATCTAT